TTATATTAATCTTTGACAAAGCATGCTTTAATTAGTGAGGGGTTTAGTATGGACTTGATAAGCATTTTTTGATAATAAATTTGTATAAAGTTCTCTTATTGTTTAATCAAAAAGACAAGGGCAAAGCTTATCACAACAAGACATGAAACAATATTCGGCATCATAGGTAGATTGTCGAATTGAATTGCTATCCATCTCAGTACTTAATTCGTGTAATCTCTGATGATGAAATTGCCACTATTGTAATTCAGGAATTGGGGAAAAAATAGATTATTGATTTCCTTAATTGATTCTTGCTAAGTTCTTGCTTCCTGACGAGTCTTTTTTCTAATTATGTGATCAAAGACAAAATTGTATAAAAATGGATATAGAAATATATAGAGCTAAAATTGAATGAATTGAACATGCCTCATATATTATTAAAAATAACTTAGCTATTTTTAACACAAATTATAGTATATTCCATTTCAGTTCAGTTGCTATATTTTATTAATCTGATGAATGTCATAAATTTTATTAGAGTGGCGATAATAGTGATTGGACGTTACTATCATCGCTGAAGATGAGAAAATTTAATGGAATAAAATATTTACTTTGTGAGTTGTACTTCAAGGAGTAGATACAACCCTAAAAAATCGAAAGGTGGAAAATATCTCTTTTTTGCATCATCTATGCCTTCATATTTTTTTAAATGTGTATTCTTCAAGACTAAAAGAGGTTTAGAAAGATTTATAAAAAGTTTTAAAAGCAAGCATTGACGGATATTAATTTAATTAAACAAGCTGAAGCGAACTTATCATTTATGATTCCACTTTTAACAGTAGAAAGCAAGGTTCTATAAAAAATATATAAGAAAAGTAAGATATCTGTCGCAGGAAGCGTAGATAATGAAAATCCATATGTTATGCTGGAAAATAAAAATATTGCTTTAATCATGAAATTTTTTTTATTAAGAAACACCCCCCCCCCTTCCAAAAAAGTTTGAATAAATAATTAGCCCCAGTAATACGAAGAATTATATAAATGATAATTATACTTGCTTATAACCAGATCTATAGACCGACTACCAATAATAAAAAGACGCTTAATCATTCAAACAATGTTAAACAGAACCTTTTACCACAGGGGAAGGGGTTATAACTCAAGATTGGCATTAAATTAAAATGGGTAGTTTGTATTTGGAATTCTGTTGTTCTAATTTTTATGTGGTATAGAAAATGAGGGGAGTGGGGGAAGAAGGGGGTAGTATTATAATATATGATGAAAAATCTTTTGATAATTAGGTATTTGAAATAACTTCTAAGTGTAAAAGAGTTAGTAAAATATTGTGCAATCTGCTGCAAATATCAAGCTTCGATATTTTCTAAAAAAGACATTAAAATGCTATGGAAATCAGTGTATATCATGATACAAAGCTTCTTATTATAATCATATGATGAAATACAAGTTTGTCTGTGAACCAACCATATTTAAAAAAATTGGTATCAATAAATATAATCCCTATATGTAAATAAAAAATTTCTTATAAATATTAAAAGTCTGATCTTCGGAATGTTTAACAAGTGCAAAAAACCTATAAAAAAACGTTTTAAACTTTTTAATTCATCTTTCTCTACACTGCTAAGGAATTTAGGCTTATAATAAGAAATTTTCATTTTACTAAAATCAATTTAAAAGTGTATTATTTTAAATTTTGTTAATGTATAAATTTTAGGTAAGGGTTTGAACTATCATTTTGTATTTTGTAAATTCAGATACAATTATTTTCGGACCTATGATTATTTCGAGAAATTGATCAAACCAGCCCCTAATCTTCCCTGTCTACCCTGTGAATATTAGACAGTACTCTAGTTATCTTTTAACTAAACTTAATTTTGGTAAGGCGATAGTTTGATGGGTATTATTTTTTGTTGTTATTTGCATTTAAAATCATTAATTGAGTACGTTTTTTAAATTTAAAAATCTGATTTTGCCAGAAATGCACCTGAAGTGTAGAATACCCACCCTTAATGTTGCGCAATCGGTTAATTTTAGGCAATTCCAAAACGGTTAGCCAAGTTTTTAGGTTAAAAAATCTGCTAAGCATAATTAGGCTTAGCATAAAAATAGGCGAAAACTTATTATTCAAAAATTAGGCATCGGCTAAGGAGCTCGGTTACCGTCATATATAGTTACATAATAAATATATAAAATAATTTTAATAAAGGCTAGGCTTAGTGTTGCGTAACGCTGACGGGCGATTAGCCTAGCTCCCAGTCCCTACATTTTGTATAATTAGTTTTAGGCGATTTTTCGGTTAAGCCAAATTATGTTTAGCTGATTTTTAGACAACACTACTTATAAATTTCAGATTAATGTAAATTAAAATTTCTTCAGAGGTTCAATATAAGATCTTCTGAAATTTATAGGGTGGGTATTCTACACATATTCTAATGCATTTTCGGCAAAATCAGATTTAAAATTTAATAAAACGCGCTCAATTTATGATTTAAAATGAAAAAATACAACAAAATAAAATTATTAAATACAAAAAAATTTTGGCGCAATCGTATGAAATTCCCAGGGTAGATTCTCTTCGGAATTGGTAAAATCAGATTTATTAGGGAAATTATAAAAGCGCACTATAAATCAGAGACCTACAGGCCCGACCTTAAACCCGGGCCGTATTTTAATTTTTTTAAATACACAAGCCGGGTCAAAAAAAGCTTTTTTTAAAAAACTCGAGCTGGGCCATATATTTTAAAACCAAATATTTTAAATCACCATTATTATCTAAGCAAATTAAAAATAGATAATATATTTTTTTTAAATCGGGGCTGGGCCAAGCAGATTATAATGCACAAAGCAACTAAATATTGACAAAATTTTCTAAAACAATTGGCGTAAGGCTGGCTTTGTTGCTAATAATTTTTTTTAAATGGCTACTCTACTAGTTAAAGCAAAGCACTAATAGAAACTGATAAAGAAGGAAACATTTTCATAATTTTAGTATTACTACTTCTAATTGTTCAGCGTATTTTAAAAAAAATAACCACAGGAAACTCAAAAATATTATCATAATTATTCATAAGCAATACAAATCAGGAACGCGAATTTTTTTAAGATTATTTTTTCCCTTTTTTTATTCAAGGGTTCCGATAATTTATATGACGGCATCTGGCTTGTTTTTTTTTGAGAAAATTTATTTCTAAAATAATAAATTCATTTTCTATAAAATCATTCTCTATAAAATTCTTCAATATTTATTCTCTATAAAATCCTTCTCTACAAAATAATTCTCTCTAAAACAATTCTCTGTAAAATATTCTCTATAAAATTATTCTCTAGAAACGACATTCTATATAAAATCATTCTCTCTAAATGAGATTCTCTATAAACGACATTCTTTATAATTGTTTTCTCTTTAAAAGTATAAAATAAATTCTCTATAAAATCATTCTCTATAAATGAGAGTCTCTACAAAATCATTCTCTATAAATGAGATTCTCTATAAACGACATTCTCTATAATTGTTTTTTCTTTAAAAGTTACTCTATAAAATAAATTCTCTATAAAATCATTCTCTATAAACGAGATTCTCTACAAAATCATTCTCTATAAACGACATTCTCTATAATTGTTTTTTCTTTAAAAGTTTCTCTATAAAATAAATTCTCTATAAAATCATTCTCTATAAACGAGATTCTCTACAAAATCATTCTCTATATATGAGATTCTCTATAAACGACATTCTCTATAATTGTTTTTTCTTTAAAAGTTTCTCTATAAAATAAATTCTCTATAAAATCATTCTCTATAAACGAGATTCTCTACAAAATCATTCTCTATAAATGAGATTCTCTATAAACGACATTCTCTATAATTGTTTTCTCTTTAAAAGTTTCTCTATAAAATAAATTCTCTATAAAATCATTCTCTATAAACGAGATTCTCTACAAAATCATTCTCTATAAATGAGATTCTCTATAAATGAGATTCTCTATAAACGACATTCTCTATAATTGTTTTCTCTTTAAAAGTTTCTCTATAAAATAAATTCTCTATAAAATCATTTTTCTATAAACGATATTCATTATAAACGACATTCTCTACACTTGTTTTCTCTATAAAAGTTTCTCTATATTTGCATTCTCTATAAAAGATTCTCTGCAAAGACGGGATACCCATTTTGCACAATATAAATTTTACAGCTAACATACCAATAAAAACTTAAATTTATTGATAAAATATTTTAGGCTATATTTTGAAGTGGTTAATATCTTAATTATTCTGTAAAATATTTTTTCTATCATTGTAATAATTTTAAAGATAAATTTTTTTTAGTGTATGTTCTTTAGTTAAGTCTAAAACGAGTAGGATAGCATGATAGTTTGATCACTTTACTTTTTTTTTGTTATTGCGTGCAATGCTCGGAGTTAGTTAAATGTATAAAATTTATTGAATCAGGAATTAAACAATTATATAAAAGATTTATAAAAATGAGATTTTTGTCAGAATTGAAAATTATCCAGTGTCTTATTTGTTTAAACGAATTTTTTTAAAAAAACTAATTTATTGTTATATTATTATAAAATAATTATTAAAAGAAGAAATAAATTTTTTTTTTTTTAAATAAGCAAATTCTTTACAGCATACATTAAGTTTAATAAATTATACAATAATGGAAACAACAATTTCCGATAGTAAAATATGATTTCGCAACACTTTTATTTGCTGGTAAAAAAAATATAAGAATTTAAATGGAATTAAAAAGATATGGATTACTGAAATATCAATATGTAATCGAAAGCGAAGTATTATAAATCATATGTAATAAAATAAGAGAGGATATGAAGGATGTAGCTTGTAATTTTATGATAAATAATAAATTTAAAATAGTCCAAAATATCATTTTGCAATAAAATATAGTCATGAAATGGCGAATTACTTTTTTTATAAACTAAAAAAAGGAATAATTACCTGCAGTTGTAATAAAAGTCTATTAAAAATACAGAATGGACTCAAAAATTTGCCTTAGGTTTCATGTAAAGCATAATTTTAGAGTATAATTGTGGAGCGTCTAGACCCCACAAGAAATCGATATGGTTGTACTTTTCGTATCTAAAAGAGGCTTTAACGGTTTTCAGTTTGGAAATCAAATAAGATACATCGATCGGACCCGCCATCAAGTCTTGGTCCCCCCAAAGTATTACCGTTGGTACATCATATTTAGATAAGTCATAATCTGGGGGAGTACTCTATATGCGAATATAAAATATAATGAAAGAAAGAATGTCAGTCAACGTCGAGCCACATACCCTCCAATTTTATCATATATTTAAAGAATTTTATATTAAATTAATTTAATCTCGTCCTAGATTAGGAAAAATGATTTTAAAAAAATTTCGAAAAAGAAAAATAAATGAATAGAAATAAATAAATAGAGGGGAAAAAAAGGAAAAGAATGAAAGAGAAAGAATAAAATTTTAAAAATTAGAAAACAAATATGAAACTGATCTATAAATGGCCAAGTTTTTTAAAAGCCCGAAGTCGAACTTCTGGAATTTCTTTGAAGTGATGAGTTGAGCAAAATGGACGAAATTTTTCGAAGATGTCCCAGATGGAACATGCGAGGCCAGCACTGGAACCAAAGCCTAAAGCAGATAGAACATTAACGAATATATATGTACTCTTATAACTTGAAAATCAATTCCAATATATATTTTTTTTTAAAAAAGTAAAATTAGTTACTTTTTAATAATCTTTCCTTTATTGTGTATTTATTTAAGAAGTTAAAACTTGAAAATAAATAGCCATAACTTTGATCTTTATTTTTAAAAAAAGGAACTTAAATAATTTAAAAACTTTTCCGCTTTACTATATTTGAATTAAAATCATTCTAGAAACAAGGCTGATTGCAATTTAATTTTTTTATTCATCTAGCTGCCTTAGCCTTACAAGTTTGTGGATATCTTGACGATTGAGTCAAGACGTCAATATATCAATTAATTTAATAATAGTTACAAATTTTTGCAACTTTTTTGACCAGAGATATAATTTCTATTATTTTTTGCCCTAAATGAAGGTTTTTCCTTTTTTTCCCGTTTTTTATTTAAAGAATTTGATATTCTTAATATTCTGAAGAGTAAAAAAAAAGAGCCTTGAAGTGATATTTTATTTTAAATAAATATTTTCTTTGACATTAATTAACTCGCTGGCCAACCCTCCATATCTTTGATGTTCTAGTATATGATTATTATTAACTTGCCATTTTATTTTCTCTCTTTCATTAGTACAAAAATATTACCTACGATAAATCGACGAATATTCTTTGAGTTTTTATTAAACCTTTTATGATTTTACACAAAAAATAATGCCATTTTACTTATTTATAGGACAATTCCCCTCTATCACACAAGTTTCTAATTTTGAAAAAAAAAATTCACTTGACATCACATTTAAATAAAAAGAAGTGCATGTTTGATAAAAGATTGATAAAAATTATTTCCTGAATGGAAAAGAGATTTACAAAAAAATAACTTATCTAATAATAACATATCAATTGACATATTTTTCCTAGCCAAGCATTAATTTAATTAGATATGTCTGTGAAAGAAGTAATGCTTACACTTAAAGCGGCTTTACGCGCTAATTGACCTATTTCTAACCGGATTAGGTTAAATTGCTTAGACGCTGGTTAGAAAAGGATTAAGCGGGATCTGAATATGACATTTTATGTGTAATTATATTAATAAAGATCAACTAAATTCAGAGGTTAAAGTAGCGAGCTACTGCGCGCTATCTTTTTTGGTAGCTATAGCTAATAGCGGCTACTTTTTTTGTAATTATTTAATTTTTTAGATCGCTATTTTTTTTGAATTTCCCACTCCCTAGATTTGAAAATTTTTTTAAAATAAATATAAAAACCAAAACTGGCTTTAAATTTATTTATTTAAAATGTAAAAAAAATATTTCCTCAAATCAATCCAGTTATAACCTCAAAAAACACCAAAAGGTAAATTGTCATTTTTACATTCTAATAGTATTTATTTTATAAGACTGTTCATACCAATAGCTATAAGGGAATGGAGAAACATTTAAATAATTTTGGTATAGGCGATTCTACATCCAAAAAGACTAATTCAATTCAAACCAAATTAATTAATTATCCAAATGCCAATATTTCTCAAAAATTGGCTGATAAAATTATTGTTGATTTTATAGTTGATACAGTTCAGCCAATACTGGTTGATAATCCATCATTACCATGAGATTAAAACTCTATCCCCGTACAACAATTTTATGTCGACAATGTCGACAGACACTAATGAATAAAATAGCACTTAACTTTAAAGTGATGAAAGATGCTCTAATAGTAGAGTTATCAGAGATATCATATATATATACCACAGCAGATATTTGGACACATAACACTAGGTAAAAACTTATAAAATGCAACAAATTACCATAAATATTTTATTACATAAACGTTTTTATAATAAAAACTAACTATATTTTAATATTTATAAATGTTGATTTTATATTTACTATACAATAACATTATAAGCAAAAATTAAACAAATTTGTTTCTAAATTTTTTTATAAAAAGTAGCTAAAGCTACTTATAAAAAATAGTAGCTAATAGCGAGCTACTTTTTTTGGCAAATAGCGATAGCGGTAGCTCGCTACTTTTCTGTCTAAATTATCGGTAAATAGCTATTTATAGCAAGTTATTTAAACTTCTCTAGAGTGAGCTGACGTCTATAGTGATGTTCATGCTCAGGCAAATAAAAAATATACTCCCCATCGTTTAATTTTTTATATATCCCCCCTCATATTTCTTAATTTATGGTAAACAAAACTAATATATAAAATTTCATTATAAGAGTATCCTATCTTATTCAGGGCGAAAATTATATAGTTGGGTTCCTTATTTTTTTTATTATAATATGCATCAACATCATCTTTTATATTTATAAGTTTACTCGTTCATGGCTAAATTTATTTGTTTTATAATCAAATTTCTATTATTCGCTTATAATTTATATGTTACGGATAAAACTCACTTGATTTTATAAATTTTTAATTGTTTCTTTCGCCTAGCGACATTTTATCACACCACACTTTATCATGCGACACTTTATCATGCGACACTTTATCACGACGACACTTTATCACGACGACACTTTATCACGACGACACTTTATCATGACGACACTTTATCATGACGACACTTTATCACTCAGTCATTTGATAACGCGACACTTTATCACGCGACATTTGATCATGATATACTTAAAACTTAATTTATTATAATTGAAAAGTTAAATTTTGTTAATATCTCATTTTTTGACTTTTCCGTCTAAATTTCAATATTTAAAAAATTTAAATTAATTTTTTTTGTATTTTTTTTATTGAGAAAAACTCATATTTTAATTTACATAAATATAATTTTTTTAACTTAATTATCATCTTATATAAAACAGGAGACATAAGCACTAATTTTCTATTTATACTTTTTATTAATAAGTAACTATAAATCAATAAAACACCACACTTAAATTAATGTGTTTATCTATTGATATTTTTTAAGCTAATCGTTTTTTCACAAAGATTTATAATTTTTACAAATTAAGGTTTTGTATTTACCCATAAATATAATAATATTTTTTTTTCTATATATACCTCAATTTTCTATATTATTATATATTAAAGAATATTTTTTTTATTAATTAAAATGTTTGAATTAGGATTTACATCGAAAAATAAACCTACCCTTTTATATCAAAATTACGAATTTACTAAATTTAGGACAAATAAAAATGAATCAATATGCTGGAGATGCGCCAAATATAAATCTCTAAAATGCCATTCTTTTATTACAACAAAATTGAATGATATCTTAAAAGGTCCCCTTGATCATACTCATGAGGGTAACATTTCAAATTCTTATGCCCGAAAAGCAATATCAGAAATGAAATCCAAATTAAGTGAATATTCTAGTCCTTCTTTGGTCCATGCAACAACATTGTTAAATTATGATAATAATACCTTGATGGTTATGCCAAATAAGTCTGCCCTTTATCGATCCTTACAAAGGCATAAAAAATTGATCTCTACCATTATATTGCCTCCTATCCCTAAGGATCTCACTTTCTTATATCCGGAATGTTACAGGGATATTCTCAAATACGATTCTGGGCCAGATGATAATTTAAGATTTATAATGTTGAGCCCGGTCGAACTACTCGAAGGATTATCAAGATCGGATATATGGATATGTGATGGTACCTTTAAAATTGTACCTGAAATATTCTTCCAACTTTATACCATCCACTTTCAAATTGCACCGCGCGAATCCTGTTGGTATATATTGCTTATTACCAAATAAAACGGCGCATACATATGCAAGGATGATAAAAGTAATCATATTATATATTTTAAGAGATGTAATTTAAATTTTATTATAGGAGCTGAAACAATTACTACCAGGGGCGCATCCGAGGAAAATATTGGTGGATTTCGAACAGGCACCGATAAATGCGTTTAGAGCTGGGTATCCACTCGCAGATATCCTTGGATGTTATTTTCATCTAAAACAGAGCGTTAATAGAAAAATAAACGATTTGGGATTAAAAGAGATGTATGAGTCGAATGACGACTTTCGATTATATAGTAGGTGTTTATCGGCTCTTGCATATGTCCAAGAGGATGATGTTGGAAACTCATTTGATACTTTGGCAAAAATATTTGGTGAATTGAATGGCTCATCTGAACTAATTTCCTACTTTGAGAAGACCTATATCCGAGGACGTAGAAATCCCAGTAAAAAAATATTTTTTTTATTATAAATTTATATATTTATAGGGCAACGAAATAACTTTGCAGCGCCTTTATATAATATAAGACTATGGAATAAACACAATTCCACGTTAGAAGGTGTCGCCCAAACAACAAATTGTGTTGAATCCTTATACCAATGTTCTCATCCAACACTATGGAAATTTTTAGATGGGATACAAAAAGATATGCAGAAACATAAAGCTCTATATCTTCAAGTCGTGATTGGAACAACACCGTACTTATCAAAGAAATATGAAGATATAAAAAGACGAATTCAGATTTGTGTTTCAAATTACGGATTGTCGGATTCTTTAATATTTTTAAAAGCTATTGCCCATATTTCGTGAACTTAAATATATTATAAATAATTTATATTTTTTACTCGTGATATATTGATTTATAGTTACTTATTAATAAAAAGTATAAATGGAAAATTATTGCTTGTCTCCTGTTTCCCATTATAAGATGATAATTAAGTTAAAAAAAATTATATTTATGTAAATTAAAATATGAGTTTTTCTCAATAAAAAAAATTAATTTAAATTTTTTAAATATTGGAATTTAGACGGAAAAGTCAAAAAATGAGATATTATCAAAATTTAATTTTTTCAAATATATAAAATTAAGTTTTAAGTATATTATGATGAAAGTCAAAAAATGAGATATTATCAAAATTTAACTTTTCAATTATATTAAATTAAGTTTTAAGTATATCATGATAAAATGTCGCGTGATAAAGTGTCGCGTTATCAAATGACTGAGTGATAAAGTGTCGTCGTGATAAGGTGTCGTCGTGATAAAGTGTCGTCGTGATAAAGTGTCGTCGTGATAAAGTGTCGTGATAAAGTGTCGTCGTGATAAAGTGTCGTCGTGATAAAGTGTCGTCGTGATAAAGTGTCGCATGATAAAGTGTCGCGTGATAAAGTGTCGCGTGATAAAGTGACTCCAAATCGTTTCTTTATTCATCTTCATCATGGATGGATTATTATTATTATATTTATGAACAAGATCCATGTTCAAATTTATGTAAAAATTTATACAGTATAATTTAAACTAGAGGTCTGCAATGAGTGGTTTTCATTCGATCTCCCATATTTAATTTTGTTTAGCCTTCCTGCCAGTCAAATGTTTAAAATTGACAGATTTTTTTTTCTCATTATTTATTTTAATTTAATACATAAAATATGCTTACGAAATAAAAAAATTAACTTTCTATATGCAAATTTCGCCAGTAAATATCTCTAATTTACCTGCCCGTCTACCAGTTGTTTTAAAAATTTTAGCCCTCACAATGTTTAAACTTTATTAAACTGCCACTCATTAGAGTCCTGCAGGGCCGGCATCCGTAGCATCATCAATAAACTATAGGGCTGGCGTGTGGCCTAAAAAGTATTAATGCTTATTTTTCTTCCTATTCTTCCTTTTATTGCCTCATTGATAATTTTATAAAATGATTTTAAAAAATACCAAAAGGTTTTGAAGCAAACCAGGTGATAATTATTTACTGTTCATTTTCGTAAGCTAAATTCAAGGAAATGTTCAACTAGAGAAATTTTTTTTAATTGGATGAAATATATTTAAAATTAAATTAAACAAGCATCCGAAGTAAGGAAGTGGACCAGAGAGATATGAGTTAGGGCTGATTAAAGGGTTGAGAGATATTGGTTAGAGTAAAGATATATTATAAATAGATTTTAATAAAATTTAATAACTTTTTTTAATTAATCTGTGAAATCTGAAAGGTCATGTATAAGACGAATAGAAGTTGAAAATAAATTAGCTGTTGTAACAACAATTTCCTTGAATTCGTAGGCGTATTATTAGGTAGTACCCCTCCCCCCTCATAAATTGAATTCCCTCCCTCTCCACCCCATTTGTTACGCGCCAGTTTGAGTTGGAACATAATCATTTTGTAATATATTGAATAAAATAATATGTGAACATCATTTAATATCAAAGTTATAACTGAATATTTATTATTACATAACATTAAAATAGATAATGAAATAAATATTATGAATTTGAGTTGAGAATTACTCCCCATAGGATGTAAAAATTGGGTCTAAATCTAAAAAAAAAATTACCATTATACCTTGGACAAACTTGAACCTCAAAAAATATAATTTTCAGGTTCCTATTGACCCATGCCAGTCCATAAGACGAGTAAGAAACCGTCTATTGCACACCTCTTATTGTCACTTTACCCAAATGTAAATTAATTGTGAAATATATTTTCGAATGTAAATGTTTCGACAGAAAACAAATAAGTTTACGTCAGATTTTAAAAATAAAATTACGATACCTTATCCAAATTATCGGGGTTAAAGCCTACTATTAAAAATAGTAAGTTACTGCACACAATATTTAGGGATCTTTTATCTCCGCAAACTATGGCAGCCATCATCTGCAGAATAGCGTTGCTGGGGAGGAATTCATTTCTACCGAGAGTGTCTAAAAGAAATTCTACATTTGTACTGATACCTGCCATTGCTTTGATAGGGGATCTTAGATTGCCCAGGAATGCCACAGGAGCCATAGCGAAAAACATCTTGATCTAAAATATTAGTAAGGGTCAGAGTCTGAAAAGCTTTATAATTATTGCTTAATCGTAGTGAAGGTCAACCAGTTAAGAATACTCCACAATCAGATTTTTTAACTGGGAAGCTGCATTTAGATTGAGTATAAAACCAAATGGATTCTAGTCACATGGTTGCCAAAACGGTATTTTTACTCCAAAACAATTTTGGTAATTAAAATAATTAGAGACCATTTTATAATTTCAATCTAAAGGCACCTTACCACTTTAAAAAATTCTAATTTAAGAATTGATTAAACCGGTCATGGATGACTTTAATTACTCAGGAAATTATTATAGTTGCATTGATGATCAAAAGGAAAAAATCTTTCAATACTTATATTTTGATTCATATTTTCTTACTTTAGGGAGAAGTTAATATAAACCATTTTTAAACCCGTCTCAGTTTGTATATCCGGCCGCCGCTCGGTCTGGAGAGGGCTGCAAAATTTTATAATTAAAATTCGGGTCGGGTTTAATGAGAAAATTACAACGCAAGACCGACCAGCTCCTGCAAAATATTTTTAAAAAACCGTAAAAAATAAAGTAGGAAATAATGTTTTTTCTTGTTTTATCAAAATATAATGATAATTAGAATTTATCTCTGACAAGGACAAACAATTAGTCATTTTTACTTCATTTACCTCTATAAATATGTTTAATTTATATTTTTTTAATTAAAAATTTGGGGCGGGGCCGGACTAGGGTTTGAAAAAATAAAAATTTGGGATCAAGCTTACTCAGGCCTAAAAATTTTAAAATATTTCGGGCCGGTTGAATTTGCAGAGCTCTGTTGCCAGTGGTAAAATAAGAGCAGACGATATTAAACACTGTGGATTTTCAATGATATATTAGTTTAACATTTTTAAATGAATCCATTTTACAATGAATAGCAGTCATTTTAACATGTTAGTATTGGGTACGAATGAATTTGTGTAGAAATGAATCTTATAGGAAAATTATATTAAATGGGTAAATGAATATGAGTAACAAAATCAAATATATTTTAAATATAATTTAAAATTAACTTTTATAATTTACTAATATATTGTTTATTTAAAAATTAAATATTAGAATTACATAAATCTATATACAAATAACTTTATTATACTTGCAAAATATAAGCACTTTTTCTGACCAATATAGATATCAAAAAGTATTTAAAATCAATGATCATTATACCTCCCCGATCTCTGATTATATTATTAAAATGCAAGGCTGTATTTTACAAATTTGTCAAACACACTATATAAAAATTTAAAGTATTTTTTCGATATCCACTTTGAGTCGTTTCAATTTTGCTTTCGGGGTCAAAGATCATAAATTAGAATCCAATTGTGTATTTTTTTAAAATATTTTTTCTGAAACTGAGCTGCTCTAAATTATAATTTATTTATTTAACTTCAAAGATGTACATAAAAAAATAAAAACATTTATAAATTCAAAAAAAAAATGAAAAAAAGTCATATATATATCATTATTTATAAGATTTTCGTCATAAAAAATAAAAATATCTATAAATTGAAGAAATTCAAAAAAATTACGTAAGAATATAAGATGCTCTCCGGTGTTGTAAAGTAGCGCGCTACTTTTTTCAGTAGATGTAGCTTTGCTTAAAAGCTAGCGATAGTGGTAGACTAATTTAGAAAGTAGCAAAGTAGCGTGTTACTTGACTCTTCGCTACTTTCAATTTTATACAATAAATACCCATAAAAATTATTATAATATATTTATAATTCTATAATTAATTCTATAATCATGATCTTTTTATTTTATTTAATTAATTGAAATTTATATTTAAAAATATGTATTATAAATCTAGTTTTCAAAATATTAAAAATTTAAAATGACGACAATAGAGATTGATATTAAAGATAATTTTGGTACAGATCATGTCGACAAAGTAATTTCCCAAGAAAATAATGATAATATGGAATTTCTTTTTTCTAAATTCGCAAAATATTTTAATCTCGATAAAAAAAATTAACACATGGTATAAATTTCGTTACAAGATGTGCCAGAAGGTTTTATCTTCAATCAAGACTAGTAGCTTCTACTTGAAAAAACATTTACAGGTATTATATCAAACTGTAGCTCAATCCTTAATATTTAAATAAAATTTGAATCAAAGCTTTATCTATAATAGTTTTTGAGTTTATGTTTAAGTTGATTTTATGGTACAATCCAAATATGGTATGTTTCAACTGGCCATAGGACATTATTCAAGAATTATATTATAAATTAAAAATCACAATAAATAATTATATTAACATCTCATCTTAACATCAGACTCATCTATTTAATGATAATATTTTATAAATTATGATCTTTATTATCTGTATGTTAAACATAGCTGTTACTTCACCCTAGATACAAGTTGAATTGAATTTGATTGAATCCAAAGGTCAACTTGATAGGGCAATTGTAACGTTAAATAACTCTCTACCAAACCAGAATACCCTAGCCCGATCAAAAACGCTACCTATTTTAGATAATATTTTTCCAATAAATTATAATATTATTGAAAATCCTCTAGACGCATTTATTAAATCTAATATTACTCAAATGAATTTATTTGATGATTTTTCTTATAAAATATATGTATATTGAATATAATACTGCATTGCCCTCAAGTGCTAGAGTTGAACAATTATTTAGTACAGCAAAGCTTATTCTTTCTGATCGTCGCTCTGGAATAGGAGATGACAGTTTAATGTTATTATTATTGAAATGCAATAAAAAATAAATAAATTATATATATATTTGAAATTATATAGTCATATTTTTTAATACCAATATTATTTATTTAAGGTTTCCGGTAAAATCAGATTTTTAAATTTTAAGAAAAAGCGCTCAAAAAATGGTTTAAAACTGAAATGTCACATTGCCCGAAAAAACATATTGACGCTAACATTTATATTTAAAAAAAAAAAAATTTTAAAAAAACAAACAATTAATTAGCTAATAGCAAAAGTGAAACCGGTTTGTTTGCATTGCTATATGGAACATGCAATTGGTTTGATTTATAGCTATCGTAATGGCGTTTGAAATAGAAAGCTTCATTACGATTGCTATTTATATGGCTTAATTAAAATGCCCAGCTCAAGGGCCAAGTATAGGTCTAATACTATATTTTCTAGCAGGCCTGGGTTTTTGAAATAATTTTTTAATGAGCTTGGGTCGGGCTTGGGTTCAAATTTTTTAATTTAAACTTAGATTATTTAATAAGTTGCTAGCTTAAAAAAATATTACAATTTTTTTCTTCTAATAAATTTTAGTAAACCAAAATATTGCCTAAATAACTGAAATATTGTTTTTCATTGAATACAAAAAATTAAATTTTTGAATATGGGTTCGGGCCGGTAAGGTGCAAAATTTTTGCACCTTACCGGGGGCTTCGGAATCTTATAGGTTTAGGATTTTAAAATGTGCCGGCCAAGCCTGGGCCTATAAATTTTTTTTACTGCGAGCCTAGGCAGAGCCTGACCAAAATATCCAGACCCATGAAAGTCTCTGTTGGTGACAAGTGGAATAAAGCTACGCTAGCTATGTCTGAATAGTTATTTATTCTCAAGATTTCTGCCAAATTAATTTCTGAGGCATTTCTATTAGATCGTGTCCAAAAATTTATACATTGGTAATCCCAAGCAACTGAAATTCCAGAGGACCAAGGTATTAGGCTCACACGATTGAGCTTTATGTTGTTGCATGAGCATAAATGATTCGGCAGGGTATTTGGGATACTGACCCTTTTAAGAGCTTTTGAAATAAAATTATTTATGTTTGTATGCCGTTGACGACGGCTTTTGGAATATCTGCAATGTGATGGTGTCCTATGTAATCAGGTGGTAAAGAACAATAATATATGGAACGAAACTGAATATAGATATATGAAGTTCTTCAATAGTGAGAAAAAAGTCGAGATTTTTGATTGGAATAACACAAAGTCATTTGTAGCTCGATTTAGAATTCAAAATAGCTTGGGAACATTGTTATAATGTATAACTGGATAAGAGTAAATCAACGGAGGCACTAGGGGAATATCACAAGCTTTCTGATGGGTAGATGTGGGTCTGCTAATGGCATGTTGACAATTGTTCACACAAGTGTGAATAACGCTTTTTAGATCGAGATCATGACAGGAAGGTATTAAACTTGAACTGCTTAATCTTGAGGAGATAAAAGCAGTAATAGAGAAAGGATGGTGGACGAAAATCTATGTAGAGTTAATTTTTTTAACCCTTTTTTTAAAGAAATTTTGACACAAGTCATAATTATCCTCAACATTTTTTTATCTAAAATAAATAAACATTTATAAAGTTCTAAGGTTAGTTCTATCATAATGTCAAAATATAAAATCATTAATGAAGAGAAATAGAGTTGTATTCATTTGAAATTGGAAATTGGGTATTAAACCCCACTAAAAAATTTATCTTATTTTTCTTCATTGAATGAAGGGTTAATCACATCTTAAAAACATTCACTTTAAATATAATTACAAAATGCCATCAAACGACTTTTCAAATATCATCGCTTCAAAAATGAAGATTCATTCTAAAATAGATTCATTTCTAGAAGGTGCACCCGGGCTATTTTAGATATCTCGCTTTTATATTGCTTTTTATTGTTATTCATTTTTGAATTTTGTAATTTATATTTTTTCTTTAATATTATCTTACCAATATAATTACTTTACCACTATACCTCATTTATATTTTTGGATAATAAAAGCGCGAACAGTCAAAGTCACTGGTTGATCTATAAAAAAAAGGGTATAAATCTCGACTCGAGGTTTAAGTATTATATTTTTCTTTAAAATCTTGATTTAGGTAGCCTTTAAAAAAAATCGGCTAAATCAAGATTCGATAACACTAGCTAAGTTACTTACTAAATTCAATCCTTCTCGTTTAAGAGGAGGGAGTAATATGATTTGGAATCAAAAAGAATATAACAACTGATTAGGGTTAACACAAATAGTAATAAGTATAGAATTAGTATATTATTATATGTAAGATACCTTGCTAGCCAGGTTAAAATTTTCGGAAAATGCGGAAAAGGCAATAAGAGTGCCTTGCGAATGTCCAACGTAATACAAATTATCCTTCTTGGTGTTGTACAAAATGTAATCTACCATTGCTGGGAGGTCGTATTTGGCCATTTCTTCCCAACTAATTATATCAGAAATATCAATTTGGTTTTGATAGAAATTAGATCATATTTATCAAAAGTTAAATTTTATTTTATTTATTTATGAGTTTAGATTCAAACTAGAAGCATTATTTTTACTTAGGTGTGTAATAGATCGACTTTATTCTCAATTATTATAAGGTAAAATTTTAAGGATTTTAACAGGAACCGGAAATAGATCTACCAGGAACATATCTGAACCTTGGGATCGGAATGATTCGGAAAAATATTTATAAAAGAATAAGTTAAACATTTTCATTTTATTTTTTGTTCTTCAGTATATAGAAAAAAAATTTGAGAGTGAATAGCTTTTCTACTCTCACTTAGCTTAAAGAAATGACAGATATAAAATAGAATCAGAGTGATTGACTAAAAAATACTTGCAGTGAATAGTTTAAATAAATCGATCACATATTCGATCCGCTTAATCAACTCATATATTGGTAGCAACCTTATCCTCAAGTGAAATGAGCCCTTTTCTCACTCTTTATACTTGTCGCCATAAAAAATAAGTAGATTTTTTAGTTAGGTGTTCTTTTTCACAATCAATAATTTCTTGAATGAAAAACATTTGATTTTTTTCAAAAAATATCATTTAAAAGTGGAATTTAAAATGTTTATCTATCAAAATTATAAATATATGGCGACCACTTTAAACCGGTTTTTATCTGGGTACCGATAAAATTTACAAAGCTTATCATCAGAGTTACTACTTGTTTAAGTTACCACTATTGATGTTCTAATAAAATAAATGACATATATAAGGATCTTCTTTGAATATTAAGAGCTTTTATAGTATTAATGTTACATATGCGTACCCAAAGGGAGGGGGCAAGGGGAAATCCCCCCAATCTCTTTAAAAATTTATCACTTTTTGTGAATATCATTTTAAGTTAATAAAAAATATCCCCTTTAGTCCGCCCCCTCCCTGACCCCCAAAAATGTATGCATATATTTTAAACAATAATTTGAAAAAAAAATGTAAAAGTTGATATTTTTTTATAAAACTATTCATCATAATTTATAAATTTTTGGAAAAAGCATTTATATATAAAAAAGTGAACCAAAAATGTTTTTTAAGAAATGGAATATAAGCCAAAGATAAGTCTTAAAACAAAAGTAAAATGTATTATAATTATTAATAATAGATCCATTAAATTATTAAATATAATATATCAAATATAATTTTTTATAAAGTGAGTAATTTTAATTTATTTATTTAAATAAAAGTAAAATATAATTATAAAACTATTGATAAAATAAATCATAAATTAAATAAAAAAAATTAAAGCACAATACAATCAGTGGAATGTTAAGATTTACAATATATCTAATGATATCAAATATCATATGACAATCAAATAATTTTTACCAATATAGCGAATTATATATTTTACAGAAAACTATAAAATATTGATAAGGACATCAGAAAATATCTTTTAAAGACATTGTGGGATGAATAATATGAAGATTCTTTTTAATATTATTATTTAAAATAAATAGATGGCGTTAAATATTAGAATGCAAATTATTACTATATTTATTATCAAGAGCATTGATTAGTAAATTTTGTTAAAATACTAACTGTAATATATTCCCTAACTGTCAAATATGTCTGTAAAAGTGGAATTTTACCTAGTATTTTGTAACTAATTCTATATAATAGAGGAATATCAACTATATGTCTACTTACTTTTTATAAATAAATTTCTTATACTTGTTTGGATTAAATTATTACCATGCTTTTATAATGTATATACAAGTAATTTATTATATTTATATAAACTAATAAAAATATATTTCATATTTGTTCCGGGCTTATTTTTTTTTATTAAAAATAACCTCCTCTCTTGTAAAAATATTTTATGACTATATATAGACTAAGGTAACCCGGCCGAAGGCCGGGTAAAAGCGGGCCGAAGGCGCATCCCAAATGGGGTCTGAGGACGAAGCCCCAGAAATTTTTTAATTACCCCCCCCTTTATGAAAATCCTGGCTACGCCTATATAATGCGATCTGGTCCAGATGTATTGTAGGATGAATTAGGGATTAGGAGGGATAGTCTACGGACGAATGTTATTTGTTATTCGATAACAAGAGATTAGAATATGGCAACCTTGGATATTGATTTGACCAGAAGGTCCTTATAAAAGTAATATTTCTTCTCTGATAAGATAACATACATTCTTTTTTTAAAAAAAAACCTCCAATCCCAAAATTCGAATTCATCAGGAGTATAGACTTTGTGTTCTCTGGAATAAAGGTTCCCTCTTACGTTGCCTAGCCAAACATCGAAACCCGCATCGTGCAATATGAACGCTTATTATATAATAGCAAATAAAATATTATAAAGTTTTGATTTACTATTTCATCGATATAAAATAAACAAAGTGTTTGCTCTGATTGCTTTTGAAAGAAGGCAACGAGGAATGCTAATACAATAGAGGCACACGCGCCTTGATCACTATAGTCTTCTGTTCTGTCAGAATCTGCGTGCTAAGAAAAGCTAGTAAAGGAATCAACAATTTATTTATTTGATGACTTATATCAGCATATTTTATTTTGAAATTAGAATATATCAAATTATTGGTAAGGCCGCATTTATATTAAACGCCTTTTGTTCAAACGTTGGGATATTTGCAGCGTTATTACAAAAAAAGCTAATAAATAGGTATAAATTTAATATGGATTGTTAGGATGATAACACTATGATAAAATATGGGAAAAATATGTTGCTATGCGTTTATAAAAAATATACGATATGATTATAAAAATAAAAGCCAATTCAAAAGAAGTATATATGATTTTTCTCAAATATTATATATAATAGTTATCTCTATTTTAGCTTTACTAAATATCAGCTGTAACACCGTGCGTTAAATAACGCAACGCTCGAAGATAACGCGTTTAATATAAATGCAGAAATGTGTTTTATATATTGTTATTGTATATGGATAGAAAATAAATTAATAATAATAGACATGAATTTATCACAAATTAATTCCCAGCTAAATTAAAAAAATTAAGGAGGAAGAAATTTGACTCTTCAGAACCCCTAATGCCTCTTACTATATATTTCCAATTTAATATTAATTGAGTTAATATAGGGTTTTGAAGCTTAATTTATAGGACTTCTGGGGCTCGAACTTAAACAAAATGCTAAAAGTGGGAACCTTATGATAAGCGGGTTATTTCAAAAAAATAAAGTATTATTAATTATTATAAACATTGTAAATTTACTTATAACCATTTTTTTCTCACTTAAGTTCCCTAGTAACTGCTCTAACCATCATCGAGCCTAATAAATGAGGTTCCAACTGTAAAGTTAGATATTAGTAAAAATAAAACACTCATTACACTGTACACCTAATAATGAAATAACGATATTAGGAAAAATTCATATGTTAAATCCCAAAAGTCTGTCTAATGATTTTACTCCTATACGAAAAGTATTTCATTTTTGGACAAATTTGATTTCCTGCATTATACTTTATTTGTTTTTTTTGATACCATAAATTTTAGAAAGTATAATCTTTTATAAATTACCTTTATAGTTACCTTTTATAAAATTTACGAAACCCAATCCTTTATAGGATGGATGAATGAGTGTAATATGTATTCAATGAGAACTGTTAAGATAGCTATTTCAAGCAACGTTGACCATTTTAAAGTAATAGTCTCACTCGTCCGCTTATCAAATTTTGCATAAGTGATTAATTTTTTTTATCCAAAATATACCGAAACTTTGCGTCTTGTTCGTCATAACCCAATCAGCTGATGAGCAGAGTAGACCATGTTGTAAATAAACAACATTAGTTATATCAGATACCGGATTGGGGATCCTATGCATAATCAAAAGGAAACCGTCTTCAGTTGCCACTTGGTGCTCTTCATATGGGTAACCTCGTGATTTTATCAGTTGTTCCTTTTTATTAAATAAAACAAAACTTGTTTATAGTCAAATACCCATCAACTTTATTAATCCTATTATAATTTTATCAAGCCTACTCAAATATGATGATAAGAAAATATAGATTATTTATGATAATTAAATTGTGAATAAATATCAAATGTTCAAATTTATTTTCAGAATATTCCGACCAATGGGAGATAGTTTATTTTTATAATATTCTTAATCTTGTGATAAAATAAAATAGTAAAATTTTCTGTTATTTAATCCCTTCCACTCTTACTTCAATTTTATTTTGCAAGAAATTATTCAAATATATAATCGATAAGGCTATTTAGATTTAATTATGTCATTCATTTAATTTTATAAATAAAGATTGTACATATCAATTTAGTAAACCAACTACATATGTTACGGGGGAAAAAACCAAGAAGCAAAATAATAAAACAAAAAGAAAAGAAAAATTTTTAAAAATGGAAAAAATAATATAAAACAATGCTACCAAACACTTAAAACAAATTAAAATAGGGTGTCCTTAGTTGAAAAGAATGTGTAACCTAGGCTAAACAGCAAGTATCAAAAAAATATGATAAACTAGGATACCGCCTAAAAATATTTTTATTACCTTAAAAGCATCTAAACCCCATTTTGCTTGAAATATTAATTTATTCAAACTCAAAAACACTGGAGCATAAAATTAACAATACAATATGCAGTAAAACTTGCCTAATTTTGACTTATGATAATTTGGGTAACTCCATAATTTGATTAAAATTTTGAGTCCCAATCAAATTCCTATTAACTAGTATTACTCATATTAAATCGGGCAACTGTCTAAGTTTGTCAAAAATTATGGTCCTAACGGTGTCAAAATTAGCCAGTTTTATTGTATTATCATAGACTTATAAATCTATGGTCATTATATAAATTACTAGCACATTTTTTTATTTTGGAAAATTTTAAATGGATTTTGGGTTCTTACAAATTTTAAAATAGGGTTGTTCTAGTTGAAATTTTAATATCTAGCTAAAACTGACTAATTAAAATAATAGTAAAGGTTAGGGTTTAATTAAATTTGCCGCAGCGCTCATGCTTAGGCTTAGATTTTCCCGGGTAGAACTCCTGCTTCCTCTAAAAAAAATCAGAAAAAATAATGTGACAAAAGTAAAATATCTTTTGATTAAATAAGTTTTATATGATTTATTAAGTATATATAGTTTAACTGCATTAGCCTTCTAGGGCTCGCATGATCCCGTCTTCCCTACTTATGATAAATTAAAGAGAGAATCATTTCACAGGAAAATATTTAAAACTTGTTAGATATGATACCTTTCGTTCAAGTTAATATATTTTACAAAGTAATAATGTTATACAATATATAAATCATTATACAAATTGAGTTGTAAATTATAATTTACCACATTCATAGTTATGAGAGGATCTATAGAAACATTCGTCATAGTAGGAACATGCTCATAATTTGGGAATATATCAGGGGCCGGATTATGATCGTTGAAATTTCTTGTTGGTCCGATATTCAAAAACTCATCTGCTTCTGATTATAATGATGGATAAAAATAAAATATGCTTTTATTATATAAAACTTTTGTAAAGTGAGAATTCGAAGGTTGGAACTTCTTTTTTTTGCGAAAAAATTAAGTAAGAAAAATAATAGTGTAAGGAAGAACGAAACTAAGAAGAGCGTTAGACTCTTAATATTATTAAAAATAATTCCTTATGATGACAACAAAAATAGGTCTATGTTTTAAAATAATCAGATAGGGGCTTTAGAGCATCGATTACAGGGTTTAATTATTAAATGCATATGTTATAATCAGATGGTAACACTGATTCTAGGTCAATAAAATTAATTACTGACTTTCTTACCTACTTTGTGAATCAATGTTAATTAATGCAAATTAGTTATAATTATTTAAGTAATGTTTCTTAGATACGCATATTTGCTAACGTTCTGATTGAAAATAAGTCTTAAATAATATTACTAATATTAAAATTGAACCTGAAATATTGTTATTTTGAAATTGAATAAAGCTTGGCGATATTTCAGAATTATCATCAAATTCAAACAAAGACTTTTGGCTCCTTTCTAAGGAATCTACTATAAAAGGAATAATAAATATAATCAATACAAGATATAAATCTTTTATTCTGAACATTTTTAGCATTTTATAAAAAAAATTCTATAGATTAAAATATTATTTGAAAAAATATTAATTTTTCTAATATAAAATAAAGACTTGAGATTTAACTGTATAATAAACAATGTGTGTGGGCATAGAGGAAGAACTTATTTCATTTTATAGTTTTGAAAAAAAAACAATGTAATTTTGCTTTTTTCCCCCATGTTCTTATAAAATAATCTTGCCTCTATAAAATTATTCTAATTATTTTTCTTTTTTTACTACATATTCACTGTTTTCTCTTTGTCTTTTTTTCCTTTCATTCTTTCGATATTAATTTTTTTTTTCTTTTGTTTTCTCTTGGTCTTTTAAATTTTTAAAATAAAAACCTAAATTCTATTATAAACTAGGTTTATTCAACCTAAGATTCATTCATAATTCTAATTATCACAGATTAGAAAAAATATGTTATTATTCTTTTATTTTTGAAATACTTTTGTTCTAAATTATATATTTAAAAAAAGTTAGTCTATCCTCTATACACTATATATTCATTAATCATCTTCCCACCATCGCAGTTAATGTTATTCCTATAGGGGAAGTGGGTGGGGATAAAGCAAAAAAAGTGTGATTATTGATTAATTGAATTTCAATATTATTTTATTTTATGACTATTTATAGTGCTGTAAAGTAACGTCGATGAAACATAACTTTTTTGAGGAAAAGGAACGCCAATCGTTACTTGTTTCGAAAAGTAACAAGAGCCCGTTTTTTTTGAGCAATGATAACCCAATACATTTTTCTTGTGAAATATATTTCATTTTAAAAAATTTATAGATAATTTAAGCCGAGTTTTTAATTCAGATCAACCACTAAAGTTCTTCATTTTTATTTTATTTATTACATTTTTATTGTAGAACTTAGTTAGATAAAAGGGATGATAAATAGACTGATCATTGAAAATACATTCATCTCTTAACTTTGTCGTGGTTAAAAAAATATGGTTGCAGCATTCAATTATATTTAATAATTTGGAATTGAAAACAAGCAATTTTTATTTAAATGTATAATATTATTTTCTACTACTCATAGTAACTAAAAGAGCATAACTCAATTTTTAAAAACGAACCAACTAATAGTGGGATTTGAGAAGAAAATAATTTAATTAATATAATCATGATTTCTTAAATTTATTTTATGTTACTTTTTTAAGTACATTAAAGAAAAGGTAGATATATCTTATTACGGCGATGCAATTCGGGTACAAGATACTCCATTATACCGCATTATATAGGTAACAAAATAGGCATTAAAACATAAAAAAATCTCACATCAAATTATCGGGCTATGACGGGAATACCATAAAAGCAGGGTTTAACATTTATTCAAAATTCAAACAGATCGTAGCTCTTTTGAAGATCAAAAAATGCGAAGATTTTTTCGCTAAAAAAAATTTTGAGCTTGCTCAAAGAAGATTAAAAAAAAATTTTTGTAAAAAAATCTTCTATGATTTTGAGAAAAAATTTTTGTAATTTTATAATATACTAAAATCTTTAGTAAGAAAATCTTTATTATAATAAAACATTTTTGATCCTAAAATTTTTTGTACAAATATTTTGTGATTTTTTAAAAATAAAATTTTTGATATATGCTTTTATTTTATTTTTTGATCTTGGAAAAATATTATTTCATAAGTTGTGTAAATGTTTTTTAATATTTGATGTTTTTTTGTCATAATCATAATTAATGTTTTATATTTAATGTAAAGTATAAAAGTGAGATACTCATCTCAGAACCTTTAAAAATAATTTTAATTAAAATAAGCTAGTTGAGATGGTTTCAAGATGGTTTCAGTGATTGTAAAGGATATAAAGGTGACAATTGTCATAACCGTAATTTTTGAACTTTTTTGAGTTTTTTTTAAGTAAATAAGTAAATATATGTTTTGTAAATATGTTAAATTAAAATTTCAGTGAAGATGTACCATAGAAAAGTGACAATTGTCATAATCTTTAATTATCAACATTTTTAAATTTTTTTAAAGCAAATAAATAAAAATATGTTTTGTAAACATGTTAAATTAAAATTTCAATGAAGATGTATACCATAGAAAAGTGACAATTGTCATAATCGATAATTATCAACATTTTTAAATTTTTTTAAAGCAAATAAGTAAAAATATGTTTTGTAAACATGTTAAATTAAAATTTCAGTGAAGATGTACCATAGAGCAGTGACAATTGTCATAATCGTTAATTATGAATATTTTTAAAATTTTTAAAAGTAAATAGGTAAAAATATTTTTTATAAACATGTTAAAATAAAATTTCATCAAATATGTATCTTAGAATAGTGACAATTGTCATAACCGTTATTTTTAATTTTTTTAAAGCTTATAGGTAAAATTATATATTTTGAACATTTTTAATTTCAATGAAGATGTACCATAGAAAAGTGACATTGCTATTATTAAGCTTTTTCTAATTTTTTGTAGTAATGAGCTTACTACCTATAAAGGTGACAATTGTCTTATCATATTACTCATTTTATATATTTTTAAATTAAACATACGTAAAAATGTTTTGATATAATTTTAAACTAGACAATTATCTAATTCTCAACTCCCTTTTGAAATTATTTTAGTATATATATTTTTGAAATTGTCTTATTACTCATTTTATATATTTTTAAATTAAACATAAGTAAAAATGTTGTGATATAATTTAAAACTAGACAATTATCTAATTCTAAACTCCCTTTTGAAATTATTTTAGTATATATGTCGTATGGGATTCTAACCTCTTGATTTTAAATCCTTTATCGAGAGCGATTTAAAAAATTTTAAAGTTCGATTTTAATCGGTAATGTATTCTAGCATGAGTAGAATACACAAACTGTAAATTTCAAACAATTTTGCCATGAACTTTAGAACTACTTCTAATTTATATTAATTTTTATATGGATTTTTCATATAAATTAAAAAAATACTAAAATGTCTATCTCTGAAATGGGCTGAAATTTATGGGGTAAATACTCTACACATGCTGGAATTCAATTCCTGTAAAATCAGATTTTTAGAATCCAAAAAATCGTCCATAATAAATGATTTAAAATTGAGAAATGCCGAATCCCCACAGATTCCGAAACCCCATACGACATATATATTTTTTGAAATTATCATATTACTCATTTCCATTATTTTTAAATTATATTAATATAATATTTTGTTGGAAAACACTCTGTGCTGATGATAATAGTATTATATATGTTAAATGTTTAGATGCAAGAATGGAGTTCAACTAGAAAGATGCACTAAATAAAAATGATCTTTTTACGACAAAAATTTAAAAATATTAAATCAATTTTAGTGAGTTATTTTCTAAGAAATATTATAGGGGAATTATTTTCCGCTTACCCATTAAAAAATCAAAATACTATTATGCAGCCTGTAGAATTTATTTGTAGAAGGAAAAAAGGTTTGGACATCTATTAGCAAAATCTCGAGGCTTAGGTATTATTTATCTGGCTAAAATATTGAGCTAGCCATTTTAAAAATCGTCTCAAAACGAGCTTTAACACTAGGGGTGAGCATGGTTTAAATTTATTTATATTGGCTGGGGCAAGAGGAAAAGCCTGTAAAAATTATTTATATTTTACATTCTTTCTTTCTCCTTATTGAATAATTAAAATAAAACTATTTATATAAAAAAAAAGTTTAAAGAAAAACACATTTAAATTAATTCAATAAAAAAAATAAAATAAAAATAATAAAAGGGAGAGGCAATGGAAAAAACGAAAAGAAAAGAATTTGATGTCTGACCCAGAGTTCTACTTTTATTTTATTTTTTGAATCCCACCCATCTGGGAAATACATTTTTTAGTGCGTAAAGAAAAGAATATGTTGTCTGACCAAGAATTTTACTTCTTTTTATTTTTTGAATCTTATCTGGGAAATACATTTTTTATACCTTAACATTTGATTTTTTTTAAAAATATAAATAAAAAAACATTAAATAATAAATAAATGTATCCCAAATTTATAAAAAGGGGGGTTTTATATTTGGCTAAGGCTGACTTGACTTCAATAATATAATATTTTTTATTCATTTTTCTTCTATAACATTAATTCCTGATTTTTTTTCAAAATATAATAAACAAGTGAAAATATAAATGAAAATTTAAAAGGAAAACATAAAAGTTAAAGATAGCAAAATTTTTATTTTAATTTTATTTTATTTTTATATAATGCTTTCAAGCCAAAATAAAAAAAATATTCTTAAAGATATTCTAAAGGAGCATTTTTTAATAGATTCCTCTGAAAATTTAGCGACTTGCAGCATGTGTGACAAAAAAATGAAGTCGATACCATGTATGATAAATTATTTAATATATTTTTAAATATATTTTTCTAGCAAATCTTAAAAGGCACATAACGTCTCAGCACCCGACCATAATGAAAGCAGATGAATCTAATAGTGATTCGTCATTCAATGCTAGAAATACAGCAAAAGAAAAATTCCAAAAAATTAAAATAGATAAATCAAAAGTATTTCAAAATATTTAAATGACACAATAAAAATCAATATTTATTTTTTAGGTTTTTGAATCTATAGTACTGCTGACTACAGTTAATAATTTACCCATTAATATGGTCAATTATGAGGGCTTCCGTATATTAATAGACCCCATATGTCATTCTCTTCAAATAAAAATAAATACTCGTTCAGTGATCGACAAAATAAAATATACCGCATCCGAAATTAGATTACAAATTATACACGAATTAAAAAACAAGCTGATTTCTTTCAAAATTGATACAGCTACCAGATATAATAAATCAATATTAGGCATAAATGTTCAGTATATAAAAGTTGGCCATATAGAAGTGCGAACACTTGGAATGATAGAACTTCTTAAATCATACAGGTGCTAACCTAAAAGAAGAGATACATACAATTTTAAAAAAATACCAACTTGATTTAAAACAAATTTATAGCATTATAGTGTATAACGGCGCGAATATGATTAAAATGGTTAATATTATTGCAAAAGATCAAAATGATTTATCAAATGTTGATGAAAACAAACAGCGAAATTTTTGATACTAGTGTGAGCGGTCAAGATAATATATGTATTGATGAAAACATTTCAGTTTTCTCTGATGAAGAAATACCAGAGGGTATTGACAATTATTATGACAATACAGACAATATATTAGACGATATGAGCAAAAGCTTTGGTCTAAGCTGTATAAGATGTTCAGCTCATACTATACAATTAGCTGTGAATAGTTTTATAAAAATATATTTAAAATTGGATTTGTCAAAATTCGGGACATCATAAAATTAATAAAATCTCAAAAATATAAAAATTTATTTATAATGGATAAAGTTACCAAACCCACTCTAGATATCTTTTTTATTTTAGGAACATATATTTGCAACCTGGAAACAATTACAAATTATTGACCCATATAAAGAACATCCAACCTTGATTTTGCCCCCTACAAAAGATTATAAAAAAACCAAACTTGATCTCTATATCGAGCGTGATTGCAAAAAAGTGCCTGTTTATTATGAAGAGGGGAATAGTGATATTATACTTAAAATAAAGTCTCTCTTATACAACAAAAGACTGCCATTCAACCAAGATATTTTACAATATTGGCTTTCACGAAAACACCAAGATACAGATTTATTTAAATTGTCTTAAGTAATTCTCGCTGCTCCTTGCGCTCAGGTCTCAGCTGAGAGAGCGTTTAGTGCATTAGCACTCACTGTAAGCTCTCTAAGGACAAGATTAGATAAAGATACACTTGATGATATTTTAATAATAAAACTAAATCGTACATTGTTAAATAATGTGATATTTTAAATTATTATTTATATAACCTATTTCATTACATAGTTATAATTTACATTGAAATTTTAATAAATAAAAATTCATATAAAAGGACTGATTTAGATGATAACAAAATAAATAGATTTTTTGTATGAATAGTATAATCAGAGGGGGCATTATTTACTATATTTATCCAAATGGTAATTTCTAAGATCAAAAATTTATTTAATATTTTCAAATGTTTTGTCGTAAAGATATCATGTTTATTTAGTGCATCTTTAGTTGAACTCCATTCTAGCATCTAAAAATTTAACATATATAATACTATTATTATATGCACAGAAATTTGTTTTCCAACAACATATTATATTTAATTTAAATTAATGGAAATGAGTAACACGATAATTTCAAAAATATATATACTAAAATAATTTCA